TTAACCCAGATCCATGTGCGTCCTATCTGCATACTGATCTATGGACCCCGAAAATATAGTCCCAAGTTTAACAAAAATACGCACCAACAATGACCTTGTCTGCTTGTTTGCAGACACACGGAGTGGACAATGCGATTCACAATTTAGTCAGAGTTATGCCACCATGTGCAAACCGACGAAGTCTTGGTTGAACACGTAACAGAAAGGGAGCGCTTTAGGGTTTGGTGGGGTCTCTCACACGATGACCACATTTCTCACTTGACCCAGCAAACGAGCAATTAACTGAGCAGTGCTCAGCACGAACGTTCATGGTCTCATGAATGAAGTATTCTCGGTACAAAAAGGGTAGTAGCGGCCGACGTGAAATGGGGGTCGAACATTTGTAATCGTCGGTGCATATTTTGTTGAGCGTGTGACGATATTTTCGGGGTCCATAGATCAGTATGCAGATAGGACGCACATGGATCTGGGTAAATAGGGGTCTCATTGAACGTTTTCACTCTGTACTGTGCCAGGTACTATCCACATAACAACATGACATCTTAAATTGATACTCGGACATCTTACATTCATATTGTGACATCTTAAATATACATTTGAACATCTTAAACCAAAAAGGTATAGTAAATTTTATATAATGAATTCCTCATGTAAATGAGGCGTGAGTTAACAAGCTGGGAAACGCTGGAAATCTGTTTCGACCTCCATAGGTTGATTCAGTATTGCGCGAATCCATCAACCTGACTAGGGATCGCAAGCATATTACCCACTCGGCCACGTTAGACCTTTTTCTATTGCTCGCGTTTCTGCTTTGATGGGCGACCGGGCTCAATAGCACGCTTGTTCTGTTTGTTGGTGTTGTTGAGTTCTCCGAGCTGGAAGTGCTGTTTCAGCTAGGAGAATCCACAAACACCAACATCCGCATTCCGAGCTACAATCATTCCACCTCACATCCTGCTTATGTAGTGAGAGGGATTATGCGTTCGGTCTTCCTCGACCGGGCGGTGGTGGCCCGGGGACGTGTATTCCAATCCCACCACCATCACCGCCGGAATTTCCCCATCGTGTGTTGTATGGCAGCCCTTTGATTGGCGGCCTCCCCCTTCCTGAAAAATGTATCATTGTATATTCAATAAAAGGAAGTAAAAGAGAAAAAGAAAATGACAATTAGGTCCCCGTGTCTACGGGATGCACTCGGTTTGTTGTTCATCACACAACCCTATAATTTAAGGAACCAATGAAAAATCATCCGTTGAGGTGCCACATAACCATTGCTCAGAACGGCAAGATACACTTAATCAAAAGGACTATATGAGGTTCACTACACAAACAAACAGAACCAATCGGTTATCGGATGTAATCAGCGGAGACTTTACACCCTCTAGTACGTACCACGATGCAGTAAATCATCGAAATGAGAAAATTACACAAATGGCGTGGTGTTATCCAAGATGAACAGTGGTAGTGTCGCATACACACACAGCACCAGATCAAAAAGTAAGCGGTGGCATTGGAAAACATTACCTCGGTTGTTTTGCCGGCGGCTGTTTCGGAGTATCGGTCTTCTTTTGAGTATCTTTCCTCGTTCTCTTGCGACGTTTGGTGG